AAGCGCGCAATTCAACAACAGCCCGAACAGAAGGTGGAAGCGAGAAAGGAACAAGTTATCGAGTCAAACGATACACACAAAAAAAATACACACAGTGACTGAGAGCACCAACAACAACAACAAAATCGTATTACTGAAATACGACTTTTCATTCACGTTCGTTAGTTCTGATGACAGAGCGCTAAAGACACTACCAGATACTTTTATTCTGTATATACGCGGTCCGTTCTCTTTCTCGTTGTATATATATATAAAAAAAGTTTAAGTTCGACCGTTTTGCTCGTTTGTGAAAATTATTTTCCGTTTACGTAAAGTGAATTCGGTTGTTTGTTATTGTTGTTTCAGTCTTTTCAGTTTTCGTACAATTCAATCGTCAACAAAGAGAGAAACAATCGTATTCGTCCAAATTATGACTATTACATACGAGTCATTACACAAACACTCTTCGACCGTTTTTTAAACAAATGTAATAAAGCAATTATGTGTTCTACATATTATTTATCATTTAATATTAAATTTAAAAAAATAAAATAAAACAAATGTATCCTTAGAAGTAGAATTAAAAAAAAACTGTTGATAACATAAGAGGTTGGCTGTGCTATAATCAAAACATCGCTCCGGCCACTGACTTTTGTGAATGTTGTTACAAAGTTATCAGGATAATTTTGTGGGTTGTCGATTAAAAGTTGGTGGATATCGCCGTTTTAGCACTTTATTTCAATATGTTAATGGAATTTTTCGACAAAGAGAAAATAAATTCAAATTGTGATTCGCTATCAAAGATTGTGTGTTATTTTAAGTTCAGTTTAACATGAGAAGAAAAAAATTGCGAAATAATAACGATATCACTATGAATTGTGACTGCTGCGCATGCGACTATCATGGCTGGTGTTTTAAAATATGGATAAGTGAACGAATGAGCCGGCGGGTTAAACGTTTTTTTATCAAATAGCTATTTCTTGTCTTGTTTACAATGATCTCGAACGGTATTTCGGGATGGATCATATTTCGTTTTGATCATAATAGAGTGATCAGTGGCATTTAATATATTCGAGTATGATCGATTGAGTAATATCATTGTACGAAGTGCTGCTGAGTGAAAGATTTCGTTTGTGTTTTTTAAGGACTTAAGCAAGTAACCGATTTTTTTTTCATTTTTTTCGTTTTCGTTCGTCTGAAATCGGGGTGCATATATCTACTTATTTACGAATTACCTTTGCCTCTTAGATATTGCCTAAACGCACAAACGCCTAATTTATCGAAGGTGTTTATTCAACCGCTTGAATTTCGAGGTCTTTTCACAAATATTGCACTAAAACAGTTTCTCTCACTCAAACATAAAATGTTGTTTAAAAAATTATCATTTGCACATCGATTTGTGCAAAAATATGCTCCGTTACACTCTGCCGCGATTAAATAAACATTTTATATGCAAAGAAAATAGGTAGCAAAAAAAAACGATGAGAAATGATTTGAATAAATTAAACGTGTTGCGATTGCGATGATATTTTATGATTGCTTGACATGCACAATTAAATGTTTAAGTCATTGTATTTTCCAGCTATTGCTATTTGCATGAATATATCATTTGGCAAACAAAGTGTTGCAGAGAGTATTTTATGTAATGTGCCATCTGTGAATGTGATATGTATTCGATAAAGACCTTAAAGCGATTTTCAATCTGCCCAAAACTGATACAATTTTGACTTTTCTTTTATATAATTTTGTTGCACACGCAACATTTAAATCTTTTTGTTGTCATTTTCAACTCTTCGAGAGCGATAGAGAGAAAATAAGATAATCAGCGTTCTTAAAAAATCATTCTCGAATAACCAGCAGTTATTCAAATACTGAGGTTTCCACTTTGGCACATTTAGTGCGCATTTCAATGATAAATAAATATCCATTTAACATACATGGTGTTTATATTTCTCTCGCTCTCTCTCTCTCTTGTTCTCTGTTTGTAATGTTATAATCAGCGGGCTTGACCAAACCGTTTAGAGAAGATTTAATTCCCTCTTGTTAAACAAAACAACAAATGTGTTTTCACAACTACTCAATATAAGCGATCATAAAGGGCGACCTTTTCAAGTGGAAGTGCGAACAGATTGTTAACACACAACCATAATATGGTTTAAATATATTCATATGATTGTCCACGCAATATATATTCATATATTTAATAATGTGCCACGAAAATTTATGCTTCTTTAACGAATTAACGTAAATACATTGATTAATAGTCTGTTTCTCATTCTCTCTCTTACACACACACTCTCGTTGCGCGAACGTCTCTCGTTCATCTCGAGTGTGTTTTCAGCAAAAGAATCAACGTATGACCCGCAAATGAAAACAATTGAAAACGTTCTAATTCAATTATCCCGAAACGAAACGAATAATAAACGTCAGCCGATGTTGTTGGTGTTGTCGTCATACATTCATTGAGATGCACGTAGACGGGGGCATCAACGGTACACAATTCGGATTACAGTACATGTATGACATATACAACAACTTGTGATAAAAAGAAGACACACAGAATGCCCTAAACCGTATTTTATGATTTGATTAAATTGTACGTTGCATATCCCACTTTGTAATGAGATCATTACTTTTAATTAGAAACAATTCAAAGCTATTCAGTTTACTTGAATGCTTAATTCCTTATTCAACTTATTTTGCCCAGTTTATTCCATTGATGAATGTTACCATTTTTTTCCTTCGTTCGCCACACAAGAAAGGCAGAGAAATAAACAATACACACAGTGAGAGATTGAGAGAAATAGAGAGTACGATGTCATCTTTCTCCTGACAATTGTGTTGTATTTGAAATGACCTAGTGTATTTATTGTGCACTTCACTTTAAATAGATGAAACACACAATGTCAAATTGAATATACAAATGATGGTTGGTTGTGAGTTCAATTTCATTTGACTGAATTCAATTCGATCGGCCAGATATTGATACTCTTCGTGCATCCATTCAATTAGTTTGAATATATTCTGTTCATTGTTCCATCAACGTATTAAGTTATCAACTAGATGCTGGCCTGTAAAAGAGGCCATTTCAATTACTATTCGGATGCTTTTTTCCCCCCAAAATTGATTTAAGCCGAACAACACGAAAATGACGAAAAATGAAAAAAAAAAAAAAATGTTGTTTTTGCGAAGCACACGAATGAACGAAACAGTGATGTCTGTAGGGTAATGACGTCACTAATGCATATTTTATATGCCACAAACATTTTTTTTTGGTGTTTGAAAATCTTAATGTTGCTCACATCGTATCATAAATAAAATTAAAATCACATAAACAGGCTTCGAATGCTTTCACCACTCACAGGAATCAAGTGATTTGTGTTTTTTTCTTTCATTCTCGCGTAAAATTTGTTGGAATTGAACGCTTAGACGTGCCATCACTTCCTTCACCATATAAGAGGCACACAATTTAACTCGTTAAAATATTAATATTGAAAAAACGAGATGGAAATGAAATAAGACATTTCAGTTTTTTTTTCGTAACAAGACAAGAAAAAAAAGCAATCGGAACGAAAAAAATGTGAGATGTCACGAATCGAATGCTCCAATTTGAATGCTACTGAACTACACACTTTTGTTGCGTTTCATCTTTACACGTGTTTAACTAAGCAAGTTGCATTCTCGTCTTCTTCTTTTTTTTTTTGTTTCAGAATATTTCTGGATATTGTTTGTTATTGAAAATGCTTTAAGTCTACATCTTTATTGAACGGGGAAATCGAAATACATTTATAAATATATTCAAAATGTTGACACCGAAGAGGAAAAAAATTCATTGACAGAAATGTTATTGTGGTTTAAAATGTTCATAATGACTTAACTATGTGTTTTTGTAATTATACTTTGCCATTAAGTATGCGTATTTGTCTGAACAAACAAAAAATACGAATGTGTTGAAGAAGAAGAAAAAAATCAACGGAATGAAACATTAAAGTATTAAAAAAAAACTAAACGCGTGAAGGGAAGGAAACGATCAAGAAAGCAAGAATACTCAAAAAGTTGAAGAAGAAAATTGTCATGATGTTTTTACTTAGTATGCAATAAATGCACATTCGACGACAACGAACAGAGTTTTAAAAACACAGAATAAACCGAAAATAAATTGTAAATCGGCCAATAAGATAAAACATTTTTGTTGAAAAAATGACCAACGAATGGATCGATTGGTCGAGTGAAAATGCGAATCGTGTACGAACACCGTTGCGCGGTGGTGGTTGTAATAATTTCTTAAACAATAATTATACAAATCAAAAAGTTATCTCCGGAATGGGACTAAAAGCAAATACACTAATGAAGTCTACACAACGACCAAAAGGTAATGGTAAATTTTGTTGCATTTTTTTTAAATAGAAACAACAAATACAATTGAAAAACAAAAACCATACACCCATTTTCCCGTGTCGGGAAATTCCAACATAAGATAAAATTTCTTCAACAATTTCTACAACACAAACACTCACACACATACACACAATATGCACACACTTGAAACAAATGGTCTTTGGCCCTCTATGTATTCTGTTCGATGTCGAGAGTATTTTTCCTCTTAATGGCGAGAGTATTGAATGTTCAATGAGTCAAATGACAGACAATGTAACATTTGACCTCGATAGCCGAAAATCCTCGTCATACAATAGTAGTATTAACACATTGAACAATATAAATTGTCAAGGATTTAGCAACAATTGAATAGAATAAATTCTATTCAAATGTTTGTCACATTTGTTGACGATTAGGAAGTGAAACCGTTAGGCTTTCGAAGCAACTTAGTGTCCGGCGAGACGAAGTTTGTCACTTTTGAACATATATTTTGTTGTTGAAAGGAATATACATTGTGTTTTTGTTCCTTGGCCTTGATTTGCACAATATATCCAGGCACTGTTTTAATTCACACCAAATAAAGTACATCTTACGCACATTTTCATCAAATTCTTGGATTTAATTGCTTATTTTTTTTCTTACAGAAATGCCCATTGGTATGCCCCCCTTGACACCTGGTTCGAATAAAACATTAACAGAAGCATTGAAAGCATCGTTTGCAAAATGGGAAAAAGAAGCACAAAATTATAATATTTCAAAAGGTACGTATTTGAATTTTACTATGAACCAGTTCATTTGAAAGTTGAAACTACTGCATGATTTATTTACGATGTATTTCAAGTGTTTTTATTGAATTTATCAAAATAAATTCATTCATTTGTTGAATATTGTATATATCGATTGATAATTCAATCGTTTTTTATTTATTTTTTATTGTCATCATGTTTACCGTTGAATATTGCCCAATGCTCTTCTCTCAAGCAATAAACAATTTTATATGTTTTTCCCCACCAATCGCAAGACACTTACGACTTACCCATGGTGAATTGTCCAATCAGTAACATACCATTCGTGCGATGAAAAAGAGTGAAGAAAAAAGACACTTGATGGCATTATTCATAAAAAAAAATATTGAATCAAAAAGAGATAGAGGGAAAGAAGCCATCTCTATGGAGGAAGTTATATGACACCCTCTGAAAGTGTATTCGATTTATTTCATTCATATTTCATTGAGAAGCGACGTCTGTCAGATAATTGATTTAGAAAAATGAAATGAAAGCCATTTAAACGCAATGTATGTCAGTTTAAGTGAGTAAAACATATTATCGTGGGTCATGAACGGCCAAAAGAAAAATATGATTGTTCAACGCATATCCTTATCTGATGTCAACAGGTAGAGAGAAAAAAATGTACGTTCGATGAGCAATAAACGGGGGAAAAAAATATTTGTAAAAGGTGAATGATGGCGCACAATTTTTGGACGATTCACTTTTTTTTTCTCATTTAGAAAAAAGGGAAAGTTTAATGTAAATATCATATATTGAAAGCATGTGAAATCATCTGCAAACAATGACTTTATGAATGGGAGACTCATCAGAGAATAAAATGTCATTAATAGTTTTCTAGTACTTCAATTATACAAACGTAACGCAATGGATAATGTTAATTTGATGTGAACAACGGTGTGGAACGTCATTCACTCCTTTAATGGATTATACAGTTACAAAACGTTTTTCACAAAAACCAAACACCATCATCGTACTTAAAACGGTTTGGTGCAATGGACGATGATTACGACAAATTCGCAACATCGAACATTCTAATTTATATCTGTGTGTGCATACCGAACATCAAAGAGATGCTTTTGCTAAGGAGCATTTTATATGAAACGAATGTCCTTTTATCTTTCTTTGTACATCGGTGTGGATATTCAAATCACTTACGTTTCACATGAATTTCTTCGGTGTCTTTGTTATTTACTGATGTGGCACAAAATTGAAATAATGAATATAAATATATTGCGTGCGATAGCGAAATACGTTTGAAATGTAAATAAGGGCGTGAAAAGTATGTGGCCGCGCACACAAAAGCGACAATATCACATAAATGACACACGAATTCAATGCCCGAAGACAGTCAATTCAATTTTGGTATTTTCTGAATTCTAGCGGTTTATTATTTTGTTTACCAATTAAACATTTCGTAAAGAAGCAAACATTTTATTCATTTGTGTGGTAAGACAGCAAAATTAATTAGGATCTAAAGAGAAACGTTCAAATGAGCGTAGCATCATCTTAAATTAAAATGATTAGAGAATGAGAGCGTTTATTGTGTCGCTTCCTCTCCGGGCAATTTGTTCAGGTCGCGTTCGCATACACACACATACACGAATTGCCGTATGACCGTGAGGGCGAGTGCACGACCTCCTTTGCACTTGTCATGACAGAGATTTGCTTGTTCTCTCATTTTCTCTCTTTTAAATATTTATTTCGGTGTTATTGGTCTTTGTTCGCTGGCGATGCGACCAATATCGTTTACAATTACATTACCGCATGTCAGACCGCATATAGTTTTATCGTGTTTTCTTCATATACCACTATGAATTTTTGCTCCATATTTTTAACATACGATTATAATGGTTCGCTAAAATAAAAGGAAGCTGCTCTTTGATGTTGTATACCTATCATGTACACCGCGTATTCCACACATATAAATTCTTTTTGCTCTTGTTTTTTTTTTATTTCGGGTTTTTCAAACACAGAGAATAAATGTTACGAAAAAAAAAAAGCCAAAGAAAAGCCATCAAGTTGCCTTAATTGAATGAAATTGTGATCTAATTTTAACTACGCACGCCAATTATTGCCTTAGACGAAAGAGTGATGAGGGAGAGAAAGAAAGCGAATTGACGAGAAAAAATTGACTGTAGCCGGATATGAGAGTGTGTCTATATACACATCAAAAATATAAATATTTGTAATAGTCAAGCGTCGAAAGGTCAGTTCGAAAGAACGAAATGGCCAAGTGTATCTCAATGTGCTCAAAACACTTGCCCAACATTACGTTTTTTTATTAGATTTTTAATATACCAAAACTGATGCAATTACTGTTTTTAATAATGAAACCGACCAAAAAAAGAGAGAGACAAAACTGTGTACACGAGTAATGAGAGGTAATCGGAAATAGGCTCAAAGTGCTACCCAACAACTTTGAACAATAAAATTATGCTTGATCCCATTTAACTCACACGAACTGCTCCAAAATTGATGAAGAGAGAAAAAAAAACTATCTTTTTTATACCACATTTTATCTAATACTCTAATGATTTTCACAATGTATAAATCTGTTTGCAAAACGGTTTCATCATAATTTCTTTGTTTTTTTTTTCTCCAAATTTTGTGTGCTTAGATCCACGTCACTGGAGTGAAGAACACGTCGCTTGCTGGTTGACCTGGGCAACAAAGGAATTCTCACTGGAAAGTGTGAATATTGAAGCATTTTCTAAAATGCGAGGTCGTGATATGATTGCCTTAGGCCGAGATGGATTTTTAGCAAAAGCTCCACCATTCTTAGGTGATGTTCTATGGGAACATTTACAAGAAATTCTACAAAAAGGTAAGTCATTTAAAACGGTGTTTTATTTAAAGAAAACGCCAATGAAATGGAACCCGTTTATTTTATCCTTTACGTCATTGAAGTTGAAATTGAAGTATTTTTCGGAAACTCCATTCGGGGATTTTTTTTTATTCAAATTATCGTTACTACAGCCATGAGTCATATTGTCAATCAAAGTGATAAGAAAAGAATTTAATAAAGCAATATTTTTATCTTTTCGAGTAAAAATCATGTGTCTGTAGTTTGAGATAGCTCAATTTCAGACAAAAACGATAAAAACTATGACATATTGTCTACCAAACAGCATCATCTCATATACGTTTTTTCAAAAGAAAATCTGGTTTTTTTTTTTATCTCAAATGGAATATTCAGTCAATTTCGAATCAACATCCAATATAATCCAATCTAATCGTAATGAAATCAGTATTCCATTCAATACAAATACATGGTCACCACACACTGATGGTATTCATCTGAGCATAGCACGTTTATACATTCGTCATCAACGAATTGAAAAATTGCACTAAATTCGTCGTTATTTAGACATGTAATTCAAATGGATGAATGGAATATTTATAAAACATTTATTTCATGTTATGTATATTAGACGAACATTGTGCGCTCGGGCAAATAGAACTGCTTGAATATTATATTAGGTCTCTCTCTCTCTCTGTGTTGCTTTTTTTCGATTGAAAATAAGAGAGAGAAAAAAAAGTAACAAAGAATTCTATAGTTTACATCAAATAGATGTCTGACTAAAAATAACAGAGTGTATGGTATGTGTATCACAATAGGAATACAAAAATCATAAGTTAGATGAATTGAGTGAATCAAGAGAAAAGCGAGCCAGCACCAGTTGCAGAACAGAAGAAATATAATACATCAAACATTCATTAAAGCGCGCAGCTCTCTAAATATGTGTATTTACAAATTTTTATTCAAATTGAATAATACGCTTTTGATTTGCTCATATGGTGTGGACAAAGTGGTGATTCGGGAGATTTTTGTTCACCAATTGTGCATGAACGATTTGATCTTGTCATCGTTTCATTTTCATATATACACACATCGTGTGTCCAATGAAATATTCTTTTAATAAAAAGAAGAAAAAAAAACATATGTGACGCGTTTACTTACCTTATAAATTCAAGCGAAAACAAATGCATAAATAGAGAGCACTCTTCGTAGAAATAATGAAATAGCATAACTCATCGTCCTCTTGAAAGGATTGTACGACTGCCAATTTTGTCTCATTTGAATAAGAATTTTTCACAATCTTCATTGAACAAAAAACACAACATATTAGGTCAGCAATTCCCCTCTCTCTTTGCTCCGCTCGTCATTATTAAATTGTGTTCAATAAAAATGCCTGATTTCATCGTTCGATTATATGATGTGAGAGAAAAAAAATTTGTAATAATAAATGAATCGAGTTCCCTCAGACAAATCAAGATTCGCATCTAAATTGAGTTATTGTAGTAAACTCTTGCTATGCTATAATTTATTTTTTATTTTTTTATTGTATTGTGAGCCATTTTAGGGGCAGGATCTAATGTAAGCCTATAGAAATTCGAAAAGATGTATTGGCATTCGAATAAGTACAACCCTTTTTCGTGCTCTCTTCATTCATGCTTAATTTGCATATCAACGAATTTTCGCGTTTGATCAAAAGATCCGAACAGATTGAATTCAATTATCATTTCACACATGGCCAAATGGTGTAAACGATTTTTCATGTCTGTGTTTAAAGGAACATGGCATGGAAATTTTTTATGTTTTTTTTTTATTTATTTCGCTTATTTTCAGATTGTGAAAAATCACTGGAAAACGTACCGACAAACGTCTATGAATCAGTATGCGGACCAGAATTATCCGATTTTTTGGGCACACAACGAACAACACCAAATTCACAAAATTACACAAACAACAAACCGTTCGCATCGATAACAAACGGTAAGTAATTTGTTTATATTTGATTTGTGTGCTATATTTTTGTGCTTCTAATTTTGTAAACACCAATGTAACAAACATTCTTTGATGTGATAATAAAATTTTCAAAAAATCAAATTCAGATCAAACTGCGAGGGTAACGCGCTTTGCGTCCTTTGATTTTTATGTCCTGCATCGATTATGAATATAAATATGAATTATGTCCAAATAATTAGGGGTGTCAACTGCACAGATAGAATATTCAACAGAACTCAACAACCGTGCCTCTCTGTCGCATCTGAACCGAATGGAAATGAATTATTGAAAATATAAAAAAAAATAACTACACACATACAAAACGAATAAAAAAAATACCGAGAGAAACAGAATGAATATAAAGAATAGCAATGCGCACATAAATGCGAATGAACAGAAGTAAAAAAAAACGCGCTACGTTCAATAAATATATAGTTGATGTTCTAAACGCGATGTTAATTTATTAAAATTCACGTTAGTCATAGCCGTCACCCATTTGATGTTTATGTATTTAATTTTTATTTACTTGAATCAACGTCAAATGTCAAATGAATCTACTCGCGCTCAACAGCGACCGAGAGAAACAGACACGAAAAAAAAACATAGTTATAATAATAATAAAGAATCTACTACAATGACACCAACAACCAGAATAAAAGTTTGCTGTAATGCGAAGTTTCACATATATTTGGTTATAAAACGTATCAGCATTCACTGATTGCGACCGTTCCAGTTGAGCTATTTTGAAACAAAAGAAAAACTTCATCGCATCGCTCATTTCATTTTGTGTGTATTTTCGTTTTTTTTTCAGTATTTTTGTATTGTTGATTCCTGTTTCTTTTTTTTTTAATTTTTGTAATTATTGTACCTTTTCGGAAAAAAAAATATATAGAGAGAGAGTCATATATGTGTATTGTGATCCCCCTTCTATTATTTGACCGTTCGACTGACTCTATACCGAGTATTACTGACAGATAGAATGAAAATAAAGTAATTTTTGGTGTTTTCGTTGTTTTGTGCATTCAATTTTAAAAAGAATAAAACCTCATCTATTAAATTAATTCAAAAAAGTCAAGCACTTTTCGATACGCATTCGTGAATTTTTTTGTTGTGTTTTTGGTTTCATCCATTGCGTCGTCTCCTGAGCAGAACTCTCGGCTTGAACATTTTCGGTTGAATCTACCCGAAAACAAAACGAACAAACCGAATACATAAAATTAACCGAGAATGAAACAACAAACATACGAAAAATACACCTTCAAATATACATATACTCACTGCACATTACTGGGAATACGGTGTATTGCGATGACGTTTTTTTTTTGTATGTGTGCCGCTTGAGCGAATCCGTCTCTCTGCATCACATTATTATATATGCAATCTGAAAACAATGCCCGTACGCATTGCTCACTTGTCGTAAATGGCGAAGCAAACAATTCGAGCTGCTTTTATGCTCAGAATATGAGAATGACTTTAGGTTTTTTTTTTAATTTTGTATATCTTCGTCGATTATTACTGAATTGATGGATCTTTTGAAGAATGTAACGGGTGCCCGTTGTTTAATGCAGTTTTTATTCGAATTAACTCCAACAGACAAATGCTTCGATTCTACAATTCATATATCGATATTTATCGAGGGAATCTACGAAAAAAGAATATCCGAAGATTTTCTTAATAACCGATTGGCACACTCCAAATCGTGAAATTGAAAAAAAAGCGGAAACAAAACTAAATAAATCGCAATAAAAGAAATCGTGCAGGTGTGACTGTATTCGATAGAAAGTAAAGGATTTCAGTTTTATTTTAAATGGTTATTGAATTTTAATATTAAATGACTTTTTATGACAAAAATTATTCATAAAGTAGAAAAATTTATTGGCGCACACACCAAATTTACAATTAAAACGAATTTCACGTATGTCTATACAAAATGGAAATGAAAAATACGAAAAAAAAGAATCATCCATAACTTTCCTTTATCGTCAATTTTTTTCGAGTCTTTTTATTGCGTGTGTATATTCTTCATTAAAGTTATTGTTTAATACCGTGGCCGTATTATCGATGATTCAGCCATAACAAACCCTGAACAAAGGTCAGATTAAATGTATTTTGCGCGAAAATTTACTAAAAATAGAACGAAAAACCGAGGTAGATTGTTGATCAGATTGAGATAAATGGTGATTAATGATCATTTATAGACGAATAGAGAGACAACACAAGCAGAACACAAGAGTTTTCTTTCGGTGATGGATATGAAGTTTTTTTGGGTAACATACCATAGCATTTTGCGTGAAACGAAGAAGAAACAATAATACATTCATATTCGATCCTCGCCAACAGCACACAATTGACATCCATGGGGCAGTGCTGGGATTTCAATATTGTATTGAAATGAACTTGAAATTTGCATTAATCGTAGATATCTATTCTCAAATATTGTTCGGTTTGGGCAGTGTGGCGGCGCGCACAATCACATAAAACTCAATAATTCTGCAGAACAAACAAGCAAAAGCACCACACAGAAAGAGAAACAACCATTATGAATTTTTTTTTTTTTTCAGAATTCGTTTAATTGACGATTGTAGTGTCTGACACGGTACACGCATTTCATTCTATTCGCTCTTTCTCTTTCTTACTCGCTCGCTCTCTCCGTATATACCTATATTCAAAATAAACTAATACAATGAGCAATTAAAAAATAAAATAAAAATGAAAACTAAAAGAGACAAAGCAACGAAAACGAAACAAAGAAATTAAAATATTATATAGTTATATATATTTTTTTTGTTTATAAGCCAGTCAGTTGCTTTGTCCAATAAATAATTTATTCACAGCAGAAATTCAAAAACGTATAACAAACATGTTCGGTTCTCCAAGTCTACATTGAAATGAGAAATATTCGAATGCAAATTCAAGCGTTTAATTCTTCGTTATTGTTGTTGGTATTTTTCTTTCTTTTTCGTTGGTCGTTGTTTCGATTTCGATGGTATACTGTTCCCAACTCTTTTTTTTGAATGGATTTTGTTTTTGTTTTGTTTTAATTTGTTTCCTTTTTCAATATCAGTCGTGGTTTTTTTTTTCGCTTATCTTTTCACAAGGATATAATGTATTCATTTAGAAATATCTAGTAATCAATTGTTCTACAACTTCTGTTTCTGTTTCTTTTAATATACAAAGTTATTAAGTTGCTTGTAAAGCTTTTGTGTTATTTGATTTCAAGTACACTGTAGTGATATGATTAACCATGAATGTAGAAATTGCGAATAAAATTGCGATCGACGAATTACAAAGCGTTTGATAAATTATTCGGATTAAATATTTCGGTCGGACTTTGGTTGCCAATAAAGCAACTTTCGCCGCTCACCACAAAAATGAAATAAATTCTTTGGTTATTGGGATGACCTGTGTGCATAGAATCGAATATAGACAGAGATATAGAAACCCATCAGTGAATACGAGAGTATCGGTACAATGCATATTCAACACTTTGTATATAAATTCTCTCACTATCTGTATATCGAACTCGGGTCGCGAGCGCACTCATAGTGAGTTGACTTATTATCCCATAGCGCTGAAATTTTCTCCTGTGAACACACAATGGGTACAATAAAACATACTAATCGTTTGAATAAACGCTGTAGGTGCTTTGGGCACAAATAATAATGAAACGTGAGTTAATGACTGTGATTCCTGTCCAGATTATTTTATTGTTTTTACTTTAAACCACACACTGCACACATGGGCCTTGCGAGAGTGTATGTTGTGTGTGTTTTTTTTTTTAAATATGTGCTCTCTTCACGCTGTTGATTGTTCTTTTTTTTCTCCCTGCGTGTAGCATTTAATCTAATTTTGATCGAAGCAGTTAACATATGGACAAAAAAGAGACACACGAATATAAAAACAAATACAAAAAAAAACTGAACATACATACAAATTGACACTGTACAGTTATAAAAGATGACCGAAACTGAAAATCCGATTTCTGACCTTTCGAGAGAAAATTTGTTTGAAAATAAATCGAATGGTGTGAAAGCTTTTTTTTTCTCGGTGATTTGAATTGTTTTCTAATTCGCAAAAACATTCGAATATACAATACATCAGTACCGCATCAGTTGAGTTTACTCAATATTTTCACTTTTGCACATTAACTAATTGTTTATAAGTAATGTTGTTGCAAACAAGCACATTAAGGACGATGATTGAGTCGAAGATTTTCCTCACAACTGTATGGACCATACAAATGTAGATTTTGAACGAAATGCCTTCATTTTTAACGAAATGCTTTCACCGTGTGGCTTTCACAGCCATGAGATCAGTCTTTCCTGAATACAAAACAAAATGAACTTTTCTCTCAAGCTTTAGTTTATCGCTCCAAAAAAGGTTCATTTAAAATCCAACAATTCATCGTGAAATCAATTTCATTAAAATATTGAATATGGATGAAATGAAACTGAACGCAAAATTGCTGCAAAGAGACTTGCGAAATCCAAATAGTCAGCATTTATTTCAAAAAAAAAGAAAAAAAAAACTGTTTATTTTATGTAATAAATCTGTTATGTCAAGGCATTTCGATTTCGATCGCTTCACAAAATGACCAGCCAAAATACAAATATGAAATCGGAAAATATTGCAGAACAAAACATCGATTAATTGACAAAAACGAATCGCAATTGCAATTAAAGATTCCGAACAATAAATAGAAAGAAGAAGAAAAAAATTGTGTGTGTAATCTCCAATTATCAATTTATTGCATTTGTGCCGCTCTACCATCTTCTTTGAGACTATGACTACGACGACGAATTATATTGGGCATATAATCGACAGTGGCACGTAATGTGGGCCGTACTTTTTATATGCGCGCTGCGCAGGTACGAATGCCACAGCGAAACATTTAACGTAAGTTGGCCTAGATGTGTCTTAGACCAAAACGAAGATATAATATGATGAAATTGCTCATTAAATGGATGTAAAATATAAATTATAGATTC